TCCAGGTGCCTGCGGCAAATCCTCCACCGTGTCAGCGAAGCACTCTGTAAACGCTTCGAGCATCGCCCAGAAGGCCGTCACATGTGACACTTCCCGCCTCCAAGGTTGGGCAGTCTCGGGGACTCATGGGCCATCTCGGGGCCCCATTAGGCCGTCTTGGGTCTCTCTTGGCCCGTCGGGGGTGTTTCGTGGTGCAGTCTTGGGGCCCAGGGGTCCTGTCAGGCCGTCTTGGATCCCTCCGGAAGGCCTCTGGGAGCCAGCTTGGGGCCCCCTTGGGGCAGGCCTGAGCAGACCAGGGGCCCTCTCGGGGCTCTCAGTGGGCCCTCGACTGGCATTCGAGTGCCCTCGAATAGTACGTCGAACAGCACGAAACATAAAAAGCGTTGAATTCTGAAGCGGGAAAAAAAGGGGGGGGGAAAAAAAGAAAGAAAATAACAACCAAAAACAAAAACAAAAATCCCCACCAGCTGCCTGCAGCTTCCCAGCAGTTGCAGCCAGCCCCCCTCCACTCGCCGGCCTGCCCGCCGAGGTGCTGCGTGAGGCTCCGGCCCGCCGCTTTAGGTTAATTCGTCTTTGCGCGGCCCGCTCTGACTGGACTCGCCGCTGGCGCTCTCGCCTGCGGCCGCTGACTAAAAAGTATCCCCACCAGCAGGATCAGTACTCCCTTCAAGAGTCTTGGTGTGCGACTTTGGTGGCGCCACCCTTCGCACCAGCTTTGGGCCAGTTTGAGCCACCCTGGCAGCTGACGCAGTGTACTGCCTGGTTGCCTCGCGGCCACATCCTTGTACGACCCTGGTTGGTTAATATTGCATGTGCGCGCTCCTGGACCTGGTTTCTGGCTGCCGCAGCTTGCACCTCCCCCTCACGCCGGCCCGCCCGCCGAGGCGCTACTGAGGTCGCCGGCCGTCGGCGTTTGGCAATTCGGCTCTTGCGCGGCCCGCTCGGACCTTACTCGCCGCTGGCGCCATCGCCTGCGGGTGCGACAAAAAGTATCCCCACCAGTTTGCCGCCTGGCGTTCTTGGCAGCCTTCGCAGTCTGCCTGCAGCCCCCGGCGCCCCCCCAGCTTCCCTCGGCGGCCGTCTCGGAAGCCGTGAGCGTCCGCTGGGCAATTAGGTTTCGCCCGTAGCCCGCGTTGACATCTGACGCTGCGTGCGCCTTCGCTTGCGGTTGCGACGGAAGAAGTATCCCCACCAGTTCGCGGCGCCGCCGTGATTCGCAGTGGCATGCTCGTGGAGTCGCTCAACCTGAATTCCCCCCCCCACCATTTTGGCGATGCATACGGGCGGGCGGCTCCCTCCCCAGGCGAAGGCGCACTTCTTGTGAGCGGCACCGAGGCCCGCCTCCTGTTGGTCTCTCCTTCCGCTGTTCTCTCGTTGTCTCTCTTTCTCCTTTCTGCTTGCGCAATTTAGGCCGTAGCTTGTTTGTTACGACTTTCGGACGGCGTTCGGCACGTCCGATGCGCTCGCGATCAACAATCCCCACCAGGACTTCGCTACGGGCGCGGCCCGCCCTGGCACGCTCGGCGTGCGACTCGTTTCGCGCGTCCGCGGACCAAGAAAGTATCCCCACCAACTCCTCCAGAAACAGGCATTCGGCGAGTTGCCCTTATCAGGGATGTGTAACAGCATGCGGCCCGGCATTGAACGAACCGCGTCCGTTTTCGCAGATCTTTCGAAGGACGAGGAGGCGGAGGCAGAGGAGGAGGAAGGAGGAGGAGGAGGAGGAGGAGGAGGAGGAGGAAAAGGAGGAGGAGAAGCAAGCTGAGGACGACAAGCAACCACTCAACCAAGTCAGCCGCGGGAAGCGTTTGCGCCCTAACGACGACGACGCCACCGCCGACGACGACGACTTTTTGGGATCTGTGCAGGCCTCTTGGGCCGTCTTGGGGGATCTCTCGGGCCCTCTTGGGGCGCACTTGGGGCTATCTGGGGGCCCTCTTGAAGGCCTGGGGAGGGTACTCAAATACGCCCCCCCCCGTCTGGGTCCGAAATTGGCCTCCTGGGCCCTCCTGGGGCGCTCTGGGGCGCTGTTGGGGCCGTCTTGAGGCCGTCCTAAGCTCGGAAACGGCAACCAGACTGGCTTTGAAGAGTGTTGGCCTACCTGCTGCATCCGTGGGAGGCTCGGAGGGCATTTGGGGCCGCCTGGGCGGTCTTGAGGCTTCTTGGAGGCATGTTGGAGGCTGTATGGAACCAACGTGGGGTGTCTTGAGTGATCTCGGAGGCCATCAGCTGGTCTGTGTGAAGCCGTGCTGGAGCCATCTTGGACCACATTTGGACCCTCTCGCAGGACCCCCCTCCAGACCCAGGGGGGAAGGTCGGAGGAGAGCGGAACTCCTTTCCCCAAGGGGAAGCATGGTGTTGGCAGAACGAGCTCCTTCGAGCAATCACGCCGAATGGCTGGTGGGATTAGCCTGGTACAGGGCCCAGCCTTCTGCAGCTGTGTGTGACGCTGGGCGTGTCCCTCTCTTCATATACTGCGCGCCACGAATGGGGGTCGACATCCGAACCATCCCACTGGGGCCGTAGGTGGAGCTCCCTGTGGGTGGGGGCACGGGCCTTTCGGGTGGTGCGCCGACATGAGCCTGGGCGCGAACCCCTGCAGTGGGGGCCTTCAGGGGAGCTTCTTGCGGGGCCCGGTCCGTGAGATGGGTGTGTCGACATGGGCTGGGGAACCCATGTGAGTCCTACCTCTGGGGCCGTAAGTAGGTGCAGCTCCCTGTGGGGGGCACGATCCATGTGAGGGGTGCGCTGACACCGGCGTGGGGGGGGCGCATGTGTATCCTCCCTGTGGGGCCGTAGGTTCAGCTCCCCGTGGGGCACGCTCCGTCAGGTGTGCCGACACGGGCGGGGGGACGCACACGAAGCCTCCCGCTTGGCCCGTCGGCGGAGCTCCCTGTGGGGCACGATGCGTGTGAGGGGTGCGCCGACATGGGCGGTGGACGCCAAACCGTCAACCAGGTTACCGCCGGGAGCCTCGTAGAGCTCTTTCCCTTGCGCGGCGCTGCTCCGAACACATAGAAAGTGCTTCATCAAGCGTTAGCTATTGATATTAATTAAAAACTCGAGAAATGTTGTTTCTGGGTTTTACGCAATGTCGGTTCCTCCTAGTCTTTTGATAGAAATGATGCAGCTAGATACGAACGCGCCCACTGGGGCCGCAGACGGAGCTTCCCTGAGGGGCACGCACGGCGTGAGGGTTTGCGCCGAGATGTGCGGGGGGGGGGGGGGAGGAGCGCGCGCAGCCCCACCCGCGAGCGCCGCACGTGGAGGAGGAGGAGGAGGAGGAGGACGAGGAGGAGGAGGAGGAAACAGAAGAAGACACATACTAATAATAATAATAATAATACTAATAATAATAATAATAATAATAATAATAATAATAATAATAATAGTAATAATAATAACAATAACAATAATAATATTAATAATAATAAGGATGATTATGATAATAATAATAATAATACTAATCATAATAATAATACTAATAATAACAACAACAACAATAACAATAATAATAACAACAATAAATAACAACAATAATAATAATAATAATGACAGTAGTAATAATAATACTTATAATAATAATAATATTAACAATAATATTATTAATGATAATACTATTATTAATAATAATAATAATAATAATAATAATAATAATAATAATAACAACAACAACAACAATAATAATAATAATAATAATAATAATAAAAAAAGGAAGACGACGAATAAAAACAATAATAAGAAGACGAAGAAGAATAAGCAGACGAAGAAGAAGAAGAAACAGAGGAGGAGGAGGAGGAGGAATGAATGGAGGTTGAAGGTGGGTGAAATGAATGAGGGGGAGTGGCTGAGTGGAGGTAGGAGGAGGAGGAGGAGGAGGAGGAGAGGAGGAGGACGGCGAGGAGGAGGAGGAGGAGGGGATGTGGAGGAGGAGGAGGAGGATGAGGAGGTATGAGATGAGGCGAAGGAGGCAGGAGGAGGAGGAGATGGGGAGGGCGTGTGCCGAGCTGGCGGGTGAGGGGGGCGGGATGCGGCGACTGCCGACCTCGGGGCAGCAGGCGGGCCTCCTGGGGGCGAGGTGTGCGCTGGAGCGGGCGGCCAACACCCCCCAGCTGCCTCGACCCTATCGCTCACTCCCTGCCTCCTCCGTTCTCCTCCTCCTCCTCCCTTATCCTCCTTCCTCCTCCTCCTTCCTCCTTCCTCCTCCTCCTCCTCCGCCTCCTCCTCCTTCCTCCTCCCCTCGCTCCTCCCCCTCCTCCTCCTCCTCTTCCTCTTTTCTCTCCTCCTCCTCCTCCGCCTCCCTCCCTCCCTCCCTCCCTCCCTCCTCCCTTCCTCCCTCCCTCCCTCCCTCCATACTACATTAAAGAGGGGAGAAACATCCCTCCCTTCCTCCCTCCCTCTTTCCCTCTTCGTCCGATCTCGGTGATTGGTGGTGCAGTCGGAAGCAATTGTAAGGATGCAGTGCGTTGCAAGGCTACCCTTTCATCCCGTTCGACACTCCCTGAGTCAATTCAGGCGTCCAAAGACGTCCACACTGGACGTCGAAGAACACTTGCATCCTTACCTTGCATCATTTCTATGGAATTGATTGTAATGCTCGGGCTTACCAGGTGACCGAAAGATCACCACCAGCACCGAAATCCAGGATCATCTTGCCGCGGTGGGAGCAACCCTCTGTGTCGGTGTTGGTACTCACTTCCAAGCCTCTACGATCCATGTGAGGATCGTCAAAGGCAGGGAATCCACCCCGAACCCGATAATCGGCGTTTACTCAGCGGCCCTGGGCGTCTAGTTACTAAACAGCCCTGTCCCGTTCGATCCCATATTTGGGTGCGCTTACCGAGCAGCTTCGCGTGTTTTTCCCAACCATCCTGTGGTGTTGGGTCCTCGTTTTGAAGAGACGGTCCCCGCGCCCTCCTCTCCTCTCCTCTCTTCTCCTCTCCTCCTCCTCCCCCTCCTCCTCCCTCCTCCCCCTCTTCCCTGCGTTGCACCCACCCAGT